TGTTAAGCGGGCTTAGCCATCAAATCCAGTTTGAGCATTCCATTTTCCCTTTAATGTGTAGAAATAAATATATTGGCAATTAATGGCCTATTCATGTTAAGGAGGTCCTTTCGCCACCAATGTTAAATAAAAAATATTAGATTATGACTAAAATTAATTTTTTTCTAATAGTAGATGTCCTTATTTATCTAATAGTGAACTTTTAACTATACCTTACCGTGCAAATTTTTGAGAATTTTTTTTTTAAATGTGTGTGTTTGTACAGTGTCTTATGAGAAAGTAAGACTTCAACAACAATTTTCGAATTATAATTAATTTTACTATAATTTATTGATTAGATGGAGTAGAAAAAAAAACTAAAAATAAGGTCTTTGAAATATTTAGGTTTTGTTTTTTACAATAAAATATATTGGTTACCGTGGAATTTATTGAGAAATTATTATTAAAAAATCACAAAAAATTTTCAACTAGGTTACTTGAAAATTTTTTGTGATTTTTTAATATTAATTTCTCAATAAGTTCCACGGGTTACTATATATATATTTTATTGTATAAAACAAAATCTAAATATTTCAAAAACCTTATTTTTAGTTTTTTTCTACTCCATCTAATCAATAAATAATAGTATAATTCGAGAATTGTTGTTGAGGACTTACTTTCTCGTGAGGCACTGTACAAATACTCACATTAAAAAAAAAATTCTCAAAAATTTGCAAGGTAAGCTATAGTTAAAAGTTCAGTATTAGATAAATAAGGACTTCAACTATTAGAAAAAATTAATTTTAGTCATAATCTAATAACTTTTTTTTAACATTTGAGACGAGAGGTGTGGCGAAAGGACCTCCTTAACGGAAAATTGCAGGCCTTTTACCATATTAATACTAACTGCTGAATAAAGGCCATGTGCCAGGCACATAACCAGACAGGCAATTCGATAATGCCTCTTTGACTTGACCAGCAGTACCATTTTAAGTATAAATATAAAACCGAATGCATTCCAATATCGGTACCTAGAATATTGTAGATATTTTAATTCATTCAGCTATATAATATGTAATAGAGATAAAATGTCTTCTACAAAATATATATTCATAAAATATTCTAAATGAACAACATGATTGTATGAGTAAGAAATTGTAATAAATAGTGAATACTAGCAATTCGAAACTGGCCTCATGTCCACTCATTGAGTATGTAGCAAGCGATCATCGGTGTCTGCATCTATAAACGCGGAACGGAACCTTCCTGGACTGTTGGGGATTGGGCCTGCGGCAGTTAAAAGCCTATTGACTTTTACCTCGCTCTTACCCAATACAGTTGCTGCTACCTAAAACGGAAGTTGCAGTAGAAAAGTGTTATTAAATTTACAGCTATGCATTCGAAGACATTGTATACGTGTCGTAGATGCCACCACGACGTATATTCTTCGTTTCACTCATGACTTATCTACAGAAGAAGACTAGACACAAATGCACACAATGCAAAGTGTCACGACCGGCCCTGATTGTCCTGAATGTCACAGAAAATTCAATTCACTTATAGTCTAAGCAAGGTTATCACATAAAAATTAAAATTTCATGCGTTTTTTAAAGTGTCATTGATTGTCATTAATAAATGTAAACTATAAACTTTTAAATGGTTTTGTATTATTTTATGTTTAGCGAATTTTAATTATGCGTTATTTGTACGTAACGTCTGTGTTAACATAAAAGTGTATGTACATTTTCATTTGACTTAAAGTCCAATGTCACATAACATCAGAAAACCTAGGAGTATCGGCAACTTCGCATAATGAAATAACTTTTGCCTTCGGAACTGCGCGAGTGAAACGAGTTGCTACGAGGGACCTTTAAATGGGTATGGCCCTTTATCTCTCTCTTAATTTTGATGTTCTTTGTCAACTTTCGCATCTGGGTAATCTATGATCGAGCTTGACAAAAACAAAATAAGATGTTTGTAATAAATCTAATCTCATGAAAGTTTATGGAAACTGGCAACATCGCTTTCATCTTATTGCGATGGTGGATCCAAATAGTATGCTGAGGAACTAAACTTGTTACCAGTGCCGTGCATTTAAACGGTTTATCTTACATATTAATTTATCTATGCTGAAAACCCTTTTCCGTTAAACGGAAAAATAGCAGTTAATATCTTTAAAAAGTAGTATAAGTTAGTATTTAACTGTTATATCTATATCATAAATTTCATTATTTTTTACAAATCATGCAGGCTAAAAAAATCAACAACTATTTTTTCCGATGTAACCCAATGTTACTGACATGTGCCGGAATAGTTTTGAACATTTTAGATAGATATATTTCGTTGCAACTCTTTGATAAATATGAAATACAATGCGAATTATATCTTACATAAAAAACCTTTACTGCAAAGTGAATAAGACTGAGCTGTCAAATATATCAGATGTATCATTTCTATTTTGATTTATGTAATGTATACATTATTGGTAAAATCGATTTAATGATTAAATTTTTAATATTGATTTTACATCTAAATCAGGCCGCACAACATATGATACGCGAGCCACTTGCAGCCCGTCATTGTCGTTTTCTTGACCCTTTGTCCCTTTACCAATTTGACCCGCCTATGTCAAACTATACATTTTTCAGTAACAAAATTGTTTTATTAATTTTCTTAATAGATCGTATGTGTGGTAGACCACAACAAACTTTACTGAATAAAACTTTATTGTAAGAATTTAAAATAAAATATAAATAATGTTTATTTTATTTGAATAATAACTTTTGAAAATAAACTATAAAAGAATTTTTTTGAGCCTAAAGATCAACGTATTTAAACGTTGGACCTGCGAAAATCCTTCGCCTATACCCCCTCCTTGCAAAAAAAATTACATCCGTTCTTGGCCCTCGTACACCTACGGTTTTTTTTTTAACTGGCCCTGAAAATCTCAGTAGTTAGACCGGATTTAAATCCTAGCTATTTCTTACAATTAGGTAAGCATTAAAATAATTTAAAATTAACTATTATATTTTTTGTTTTTTTTTTCTGGTTAATACAAATATTTATACCACTTTCACACGCTGTGAAATAAAAAGATGGGGTTTCTACTATTTTAAACAAAATTTTTGAACTGTTTGTATTCGTCCCCCTTATTTTTATAAATATTGACTGCACCAGAATATGGAAAAATTGTTTTTCCTAAACATATATAATATATGTAGTGCTTAAATTATAAAAAATAAAAACCATGTGACCGAAAAAAACTGTCAGGGGGGTCCGGAATGATTTGAAAAATAAAGGTCTTAAAAATGATGTTTTAAGGGTCTTAAATTTGACTCAAAAAGTTGTTGAATCGTATTGGGTTTTTTCTATTAACACATTTTTTTAGTTGGTGATTTGAGAATTTGATTATAAAACATTTTATTGAACTCAAACTTTTTAATGAACACAATGAAAAGTAAAGTAGTAAGACAACACAGCATCACTATTTGTATTAGAAGTTTTTCTTAAAATATTGTCCAAAACTTTAACATGTTTTCATCATATTTGTCCTCTCGTTATCTCTCCTTACTCTTGACAGATAAAGCATAGTGGTGTCCAGAAACAAGCCAAGAGTTAACATACTTCCCTGGATCATATAGCCGAAGAGGAGCTCCATTAATTTTCACATATAACAGGCCAGAAACTGTTTTTACACATTTACTCGACGAAATGGCAATCGAGTTGATTGATTGCTTTAGAGGTGTGAGACTTTCTGGTAAGGTTCGGGAGTAGATATATTTTCCGAAACTTTTAAGTAACTGTCGGTAATTTAAAACCTATAACTTTTAAAGTTTTAGCTAACTCAACGTCTTTTTCATCTAGCAGTCTTATTTCAATAGACGTTTTAAGTGCCTCGTAAAATATTTCGGGGTTCAACGGCTGGTTGTTGGTTCTACCTTCTTTTGTGTGGAGGAAAATTCCGAAAAAAGACTAGTTATGTACTGCTTTCTAAGAATAGGTATTCGTAGTAAACTCACTTACAAAAACATTTGAGTGCCGATTTGTTTTTTATAGAGAGATCCCGGAACGCTGTTCCGCCTTAAATCGAGCCCTCTATATTTCATTTCGTTATCAGATGATGGCCAAAATTTGCAATGGGCTCTCCTACTAAAAGCATTTACATTAGAATTAAAAATTTGACCAATTTTGAGCGCTGCTAGGCCTAATATGCAGAAATCTAAAAAAAAAAAACATAAAAATCCAGATGGGCCCGGAGTGAATAAAAGGAGATCATCGGGACATAGAATTGGACCAAAATACAAATTTTTAACTTTTCACAGGCCTACATTATTATTTAATAATTAAATTCTATCTAAATGGTTTTCAGTTGCTTAGCTGACTTAAAAACATATCCCTTTATCTGTTTCGTCTAAAGGGTTTTGCTCCTTTACACAATAAGTAAATACTTAATTCAAAAATTAAATTATAAACAAGCTGAGAGCTGAGATTGAAAATAACCCTGATTAAATGAGTTTGTTTACATTCAGACTATCTTGAAAATAAATAAACCTTATCCAAGCCTTTTAGAGAGTCAGTTATAATGCTTTGAAACAAATACTTACAAAGATATATTCAAAGGAATCGAGAACCTCCTCTTATTTTATAGAAGTCGGTTAACAAAAAAGGAATAGCTAAATATTACAGTCTTTAGTGGACCTCCAAAATTAATTTATACAAATCTGCTGCTTAATTCATTTGAAGTATCTTAATTATGAACTTTACTCTGAATTTTAAGATAATATATGAAAACTAATGTCATGTGATTAAGCTTAAATTATTTATTCATAGATATACATATACTTTGAAACGAAACAGGAAGCACTTAAGAATGTTTCGAGCAAGAAATTCAATAAACTTTGTTACCATTTCATATATGTACACTCCAAAGGGGTGAAATTGGTGAATATTTTGTAGTAATTTATTACATTTTGAATACAAGTATTTTGATGGTAAATATTGAAATTAAATATTATTTTTAGAGTGAAGATAACACGACGCCTACAAGTTTAAGGATTATTGATTGGCAATTAGCACACGTCAATTCTCCAGCTTATGATTACTGCTACTTTTTCCTAGCACACAGTACCAAAGAAGTTCTAGAAGACTATAAGAGTTACTTGAAATTATATCACGACGCTTTATCGCAACATCTTAAAAGTTTCGACTGTGATCCAGACGAGGTGTTCCCATATTCCAGGTAAGCAATGTACAGGGTATCCTTAAAATGTCTTAGCACATTCATGAGTCTAAAATATGAGGATCTATCTTAATTTACCATAGTTTAAAAGTTATTATATTTTTTATTGCTAAGGGGTCCAACTGTAGCACTTTGTCTATATCTAAAGATTCAAAATTTTTTTGTGTATCGCGGCATATTATATTTTTGTTAAAAAATTTATATTCCTTGGCGCACATCTTATTCAAAAATGGTATACCTAGTACTAAGGTATCGCTACGAGGAGCCGTTTCTGATAAAGTTTAAATTAAATGTTTTATTGCGTACCGAAACTCATCGTAGCAACGGTTAAAATCATCATAATCAATGGTAAGAAAAGAGTATTGTAAAACGATTCAAATGTGTCCGATTTTTCCGGAACCTTTATATTTAATTTTTAAATTTACTACCAAATTTCACCTGTGTTCAGTACTATTTATTTTTTTTTTAGTTAGTTGAATGGCTGTGGTAGGAAACAATTAGCCAGACTTTTGTTTCTGTTTCACGAATACTTAATATTGTTTCAAATCTACAAATATTTGTTAGTATCTCTATTTGTTAGTATTTGAGTATGTGTGCTTATATTAATTTTTTTTGTATTTAAATATTGGTGTTTTACTAAAATATTTATATATTATTGTTAAACTATTTTTTTGTTTTTTGGTTATTTTTTTCTTTTTTGGTTATTTTTTTCTTTTTTGGTTATTTTTTTCTTTTTTTTTTGTTTTTTGTTTTTTTTTTCTTTTTTTTTTCGTTTTTTTTTGTTTTTTTTTTCAATGCACGTACAATTTTTGTGATAATCGCAAGGTTGCTTACAAACTGTCGTTAGTATTATTTGCAATTTTATATTACATATTTTGATGTGTTGGTAAGTACAAAATAATATACTAGTGTTATTAGTAAATCTAATACAATTAAAATTAATTGGTAAATTTTGACAATTTTTAGTTAGATCATTATAAAAGGTATCTAGGCTCTCCAAGTTTAGTGGAAATTCTAGTGGCGTATGTTCCAAATTTCCGTATTCTCCACATAAACAGTATGGATTTTTAGCAATGCCTATTTTGTATTTATAGGATGGAGTTAATTCATGATCTGATCTTGCTCTGTTTATAGTTATTACAAAGGTCTGTTTGTTACGGAATGAAACATCCTAATTTTGGAATTTGTTCTGTGATAATTTTTAAAGTTTAAACCAATTAACGTGTCATCATATTTTTCCTGCCATTCAGTTATAATTTTTTCTTTAAATAATGATTTTAAATCTGAATATAAGATACAGTTTGTAGATAATACACCTCCAGAAAAATGGAATGATATAGTTAAGTTATCTGCTATTTTGTTGCCTTTTATTCCCAAATGTCTTTAATCCAAACCACGATTATTGTTTTATTTTGCTTTGTTATTTCAAAATTTTCTTTCAGTATATCTAGTTCTAGATGCAAGATCTGCGACTATGTATTTAAATTTGATAGACAGTCGACAGAACTTTTATTATCTGTGAAGATAATAAATTTATTAAATGGGTTATGCCGTATGTATCTCATTGCTTGCAAGATTGCATATAGTTCTAACGTGTATATTGATGCTTCTTTATGAAAATTATATCCTTGGTGATGCTTTGTTTTAGAATCACAATATAAGCACAACCTACGTTGTTACTCATCTTAGACTCATTTAAAAATGTGGTAATATTCTGGCCACAGTTTATTGGTTGTTTTGTTAAAATCATCGTTAGGATTAATATTCTTGGTATATGTTCTATTTGAAAATAAGATATTAAGAGCTTCTGTGTATAGCTTTCAACAAATAAAGAAGTCTTTTTAACTTGCTAGAATGGATACTATTTATTAATATCATATTCTGCGCACTTCGATATTCTGGCTCATAGCACAATTATCACGATAACTTCAGTTACACAATATCAAAAGGTGTGACACTTTTAAGTCCACACTAGATCCTGATTGTGTAAAATTTGGAGAACTTCAATGTTGATGTGTTTGTGGAATTTACTCATGAATTTTTGCAATTTTCTTAATTTCTTCTGGAATTGATTCAACTCGGCTGTTGGTCTCTATTCCGAACATACCAAGGAGCATTAACTATGTTGCTGAGAATTCTGTTTTGGAATATTTCTAGGCAATTGTAACTGCTTTTTCTGGTACATCCCCATAAGTGTAGAAATGAAGGCCATATGTACATACTGACTTAAGAATATGTTTGTAAATCAGGACTTAATTTTGAATGGAAAGTAAAGAGTGTCTTCCTATTGAAACGACCCAGGGTTATATAAAACAACTTTATTTCAAAATCTATATAATTCCCTTTTTTTAACATTCACAAACATCAACTTGACTGATCCCCACTTCTCTGTCAGATCCCATTAAGCCGGGTTCATGGGCACTGGCGTAACACTATCAACCAATACGTATTTCTATATTTAGTCTTTAGCTTTTTACGTGCTTCCTCCATTTTAATTTGGCAACCAGATTTAGACTTATTATTTTGCAGTTTTCTTATATGTTATAATATTGTTATTTAAGTTTATTTGTATATAATTTATTCTTTTACTGGTGAAGTTAATGTGAGCGGATTTTTCCTTATTAATTTTTGTGTTTCACTAATTAGGACATATTTGTATGCTTTTAATTTCATTTTGAAGCTTAACTGTTGTTCCTTTTATGGTTTATCCTATAGTTAAGATCGTTGTATCATCATTAAACGTAGCTAATTTTAAATTTCCTATCTTTGGAATGTCACAGGTGTATAATAAATATAATACTGGCCCAAGAACACTTCTCTGTCAAACTCCAGCATTTATTGACTTAATTTCAGGGTATTCGTTTTCCTTTTTAACTTTAAATATTATCTGTGATACATATAATTCTAGCAGTTAAACATATTGTATTGGTAACAATTTCTTTATTTTAAATAGGAGGCCTAGATACCTTACTTTATCGAAGGATTTTGAGATATCAAGAAATAATGTACTTCTTAATTCTTCTTAAGTTCTTAATTTTATTTGTTTTGCGATGGATCTGATCAATCTTAGAATGTTTAAATCCGAATTGATGTGACGAGATAAGATGTTTTTTGTCCAATATTTTATTCAGTCTTCTTAAGAGCAATTTCTCAAATAGTTTTAATATTATTTGGTCTATATGATGTTATTTCATTATTAGGTATTTCTGGTTGATTCCTGGTTGAAGTCTAAATGCTGCGTTTATTATATTGGTAAATTTTAACTTTTTCATGGTAATTTCTTTAGAATCTCTTCTGTAATTTTTCTTTGTACTTCTTTAGGACAAGTTAATAATAGTTTCTTTATATCACTAACTTCCTCTTGGTTATGCATTGTAATAAAATGGCGTTAAATTTGAAACAACCCCTTAATTAGTTATAATTAACGTTTAATTACCTTTTATAAATCACTTATATAAAATTTTGACTACCTCTTAGATATTTTATACCAAACAATTACTTGCCTTTTATAAAATCGGAAAATCAAATGATGGTTTTCTCAGTCGCGAGTTCAGGTTTTTCTAATAGAAACTTCCGAGAATAAGTTTTTAGGAAAAAAGGGCGCCAATATTAACCTTTTATATTTTTTAAAAAACAAGTAATTCAAACTTATATATAATTTAATTAAAAAGATAATTGTTGTAACCTTTAAAAATAAGATTCAACAAGAATATAAATAAATTTGTTTTTTTTTTAAATTGTGGAAAAGCAATTGTTCTTTGAATGCATATATCATAGTTTACATAAAAATAAGCAATATCATATGCTGGTACCAACACTCTGACTATCGTACGATAATTTTAAGATTTGGCCTTGCGAATTATTTTGCGATAATTATTAATTAGACAACCTGATTCGTCTTCTGTGGCATTAATTCTAGAAAATTTCTTTGACTGATCGAGCCAATCTCGGCTTTCCAGGTATAGTAGAGTTTTTTAATAATTTGTTGGTTGACTTATTTTTTATTTATTTTTTTTATTTTTCTTCGTAGTTGTTATTTAAGTTCGTTTAATTTGTTTTTATTCTCTTGGTTCTCATTTTTTCCACTCCTTTCGAGCCCTTCTTTTGTTTTGTATTAAATCCGTTATTTTTTTGGGGTAATTAATACCTATGTATGTTTGTATTTTTAGTGTATTATTCCATGCAGCTTATTGGCTATTAACTATAAATAATTCTATTTCTTTATCCAAATCTTTCACCGTCCTAATTGGGACATTTAATTCCATTTTTTTCACTAAGTTCAAGTTAACATTTTTTCCAGTCTGTATGTTTGTTCGTCAGTGTTCTCTAGTGATAAAATTTTCACTCTTTTTTAGGAGTATTGGGGAGTGATTAGATATTAATTCTTCAATATCTTCTATCTTTATAAAATTTGCTGCAATGTTTCTGTAAATAAAATAGTCTAAATGATCCGACATTTTGTTCATATCGCTTGGCCAATATGTAGGTCTTTCCGTGAAGTGCTACCTACTTTTCTGGCCTTTAATAGCCTGGTTTAGTTATTTTTCTTTGATTGTAGTAAGTATTGAGAGTATATCTAGGTGGAAGTAGGCAGATGTTTTAACAGCTTGTATTTCTTTACTGTCGCTTTTTCCTCGTTCATAGTGTACTATGTTATTTTTAATACTAATAGAAACTTCGGGCAGAATTGTTTGAATGAATGGCATTATAGATATGATATTCTTTTAATTTGATTTAATTTCGTGAAATGTGTTTCTGTTATTAGGCATATATCCACATGCTGTGTCTATAAGGTCTCTCATGACTCCTAAGGCAGGAGTTGTTTTGTCTTTTATCTTCTTTTACTATTATTTTCTTGTTTGTCCAGCCTTTCTAGAACTATTTTGTTGACTTGTTTCCGTTTATCTATTTAAAACATTATTTTTTTCAGCTTATAGTTATAGGACCAGTACTGCTCTTTACTGTCGGTTGTATTTCATTACTTGCTACTTGGATATAAGGTATACCAGCCTTCATTAATGTTTGTTGCCTGATTATAGTTTTCTATATATTTTCTCGGTTCACTTGGTTGACTGTGTCTTTCTGATTTGTGGTTTTGTTTCTTAAGCTCTGCGGAGCTTTTACAGTGGTGCAACCTCTTTAATTAGCTGGGTGCTCCCCTTCACAGTGTGTGCACTTATGTGATTTACTTAATGATTTTTTCAATCATGGGTTGAGTGTTTTCTAGTTCATTTGAAACACCTGAGGTATCTATTGTAGTTTTGAGTATGTTTATGTTCTTGACATCGTTTACATAGGGGTAATAGTGGTGGTTTTACACATACATTTTTTCGACATTTTCATCTTTGTTAAAGGCTAGGGTGAAGAATGGGAGCGGTTTTTAATCTTTTCTGCTTTATAGCTGGAAACTGTATAAAAAAATAATAAATTTAAATTGTATTTTGGAAACTATCAACTTTTAGTTTAGGTCTAAATACTCATATTTAAGCCTATATGAATTTTTCATGGCATACAGACATTTTGGGGACACTGTAAAATCTATATGGTAATTGTGTAATAGTACATTACGTATCAAGAATTTAATGTCCTTATAACTCTAGTTCTTTAATACTATACTTTTTCTCACCTTCTATCTCATCAAATTAACTGATCTATACTTTTACAGGTTTGAAAACCATATAAACCGCTACATGGTATTGGGATTGTTTATGTGTTTTTCGATATTGAAGATAATGTTGTGCGATTCTGGAGAAGCTCCTGATTTTGGAGAACTTAAAGAAGGTGAAGACATGATGGAGTCATTTCAATTTAAATTTCAAAACTACGACGTTTACAAACAAAGGATTAGAGAATTAATAGTTTTTGTAAAAGAACAGGATTTTATATCAAAATAAAATTTTTGTACCTATATACCGTAAAAAGGGCTACTTGAAAACAGCGAAATAACTTGAAAATAAATGCGTCAATTTATAAAACACGTGCTGCAGCTAAACCGTTTATTTTAGACGCAAAATATAAATACATCAGTTGTAGAATAATCGTACGTAGAAGACTATGGAGATTGTTTTTAATTTAATTATAATAACAAGACAAGAACATCGCTAAGTCCTAACCATTATTTCTAATTTTAAATATTATGTATCTGATACAACTCGCTTGTCAAGAACTGGTCTAACTAAAAAAAAACAATTTTTCAGGAGGTCCGATTAAAGTTTTTTCTTTTCCCTTCCTTTGATATCCGCTGCCTGCGTTATCCGATTGTTGAAATATTGAACGAATTATCACAATCATAGAACGTCCCTACAGATTTCCAAAGGTTATTCTCCGTCTCTATACTATTATTATTTTTTTTATGAGTAATTTATGTTCCTTTCTTGAACCGAAATATTTCAGGTTTTTAAAAGATTATTTCAATTATTAATAATACAAAAATTAAAAAATTTCTTTATTAATTTTTATGAAACAAGTATAAAAATAGGAAAGTATCACTTATCTGCGTAACTTCAAATCCTTCAAATCGTTGAGACTACTGAGACATAAGTGAGAAAAATCTAGAGCTCCTATTCCGTCAATCTCAATCTTAGTGGTAAATACATCTTTCTTCATACTAGGCAGGCACTTGTGGATACAGTAAGCGTCTTCGTTATTTAAAAAAAAATCACAGCTCATTATAAAACATGGCGTCTATACAGTAACAACATAGGTAGTATGATGGTGTTCCTACCCATTGCTCGCACAGTGTTTAAACCTTAGATTAAAGAGATAGGGCATGTAACACATTGCACATAGCGCATGTTGTCTATTCCAACCTTAAGTAACCCACCAATTAAAAATCTTTGTGTCCACGACGCCACCCGAATTGTTCCGACATTTCTATTCTACGTTCATTTCTTCGTGAGTTGAATCATCATGAACCGCCGTTTTTTGATTCATTTGTTGATGTTATTAGCAATTTAAAATGTTTTTGTTATTCAATTTCAGATTGAAAATGCCACGATGTATCGTGAAAATTTGTATGTACAAATATTATAAATGCCAATGTTATGAAAAATAAGAAATATATTCGGTTTCAGCGGTAAATCTTAATTAACGTTTTGACATAAAGCCGCCATGCTCCTTTGGGCTGAACACTTCAGATCCGCATCAAGGGGTTTCAATAAATATTAAGCATCAAATACATATTTTAGAAAACAGATTTCATTATACATAAATTTACAAAAGGGCAAAATTTTGAACATTTGATTTAAATAAGAAGTAAATAGGCATTATTGCTAACGAAATTTTGTTTTTTTAAAAGTAGTATTATAAGAATATTTACTGAAGGTGGTTTTTAGTCCTTTTTGGCAGTTAAATAAAAAGTAAAGAAGCATAGTTGCTAGCGTACTTTTATTTTTATAAGAATATTAGATGAAATACAAAATGACCTATCTAAAATGTCAAGGTTCGTCTTATTTATGGTCAAATCGGAAGTGATATTTGTAACGGTTGTGACCGTTTTCGTTATTTGACCCAGACATAGTAACGGTTGTAACCATTTTCGTTATTTTAAAACCACCATCTCTACACAATTATCATTTTTCGTTTATGCATTGTGTCAAAATTCGGGTTGTCATTTCGATTTACCTGTCATCAAGCAAGTTGAATTATTGAATTTTAATTATCTTTTATCTAGTACATCCGATGTACTAATTACCTTTAATATTTTTAATGGGCGTCTGATTTTATAAAGGTAAGTTTCCTACCGATATTTTGTTGAAAATATATATTTAGTACAAGAATTTCTTTATTAAAATGTCAAATTTGAAACATAACCTTACACATTGAATCACACAAGAAATCTCATGTTTTATATAATTTCATATATTATTTTGTTTGAAATAGATAATATTCTTTACTACATTTAAATGTGTTAAATAAGACTTTTTCTTTTCCTATTAAATTTGGTCTCTGTGAAGCTATTCAAATAATAGTTTAAATGTTCATTTAATAGTAAAAAGTATTATCTGTTTCCTATATACTCTTTCTGACTCCTTTCTTTATATTTTTACCTTTTTCCTTGTAGCCTGGCTGTATATAGATGGTCCTATAGAAGTTAAATATAGATGGTTTCAGTAGAAGTTCAGTAGAAGTTATATCGATGGTTTATTGGAAGTTTATCGAAAAAAATTGTTATGAAGAACGTTCCAGCTGCATGTGTAGAAATATTGAAACTTAGAAGTTTGGTTCCAGCTACAGAGGTTGTTTCAAGTATTTCAAGAGGTTTAGTTCGAGCCATCCAAAGAAGTGTACGAGATTTAACTTTACCTAAGAAGAATTATCAGTTGGTGATATCCAAGCCTATCATACGAATCCCCTGTACCTGCTACCTGTTATACCACAGATAAGTTATAATAAATCATTTAAATTTGAATAATTAAGTCTCTGTGAACTAGAATTTGTCGCTACATTATTTAATTATAGTATCATAAAGGTTAGTGATTTTCTATATTTTCATCATTAATCGCTTGTCAAGTTTAGAAAGTTTAAATATAGTGGCGTCCAACATTCTTTTTTAAAGTGATACGAGTTCTTTAATAACCTGACCCAATCCCCAAATAATAAGAGCTTAAAACAATATAAAAATATATAAAATAACAAGATCATATTAAACATTTGAATCTTAAGTCTTAAATTAAAGTAAAATGCACAATATGATCTAGTATGAGCAAAAAAATACTAAAGATACGGAAGTTAGTCACATAAAATGTTACATTATAAACCCCTAAACAACTCGAAAAATCTACGGTTATTAAAAAATCTATATTCTAGCAATATTTATTATTATACAATCGAATGCGGTTTCAAAGATCAAACAATTCTAATCTATAAATTTTGGAGCTAAATGCTCGGATAAAAGCAAGCGACCGACAGGGGTTACAAAAATAATTAATTAATCGATTATTCTGTTATTTTTTTATGAAAATTAATGGAACATTTTCAATAAATTATTTTCGTTTTTTAAGATAATAGAATAATCGATTTTAAAGGAAGAACAAAAAGAAAGTAGATTTATTCAAAATAATCGATTGATTAAAAATTTTTATTGTTTCAAACGACTTTTTTAATTAATCGAATATTTTCAATAACCGAATATTTTCGATAAGTTGATTATTTTAGATTTTTCAAAAATATTCGAATAATTTGTTTTAATGGAAATACAAAAAAAAATAGATTATCTGAAAATATTCGATTGATCGAATATAATCGGTTATTTTATATGATCGACATTTCGTATATTTTTTTGGAATTATAGATTTTTCGGTTAATCAGCTTTTTATTAATCGATTATTTTCGATTTTTCAAAGATAATCGAATAATCAATTTTAAAGGAAATATGAAAAAAGAAATATTTGAAAATAATCGATAATTCAGTTATATTTTTTTGGAAAATCGATTTATCGTAGAATGCGATTCTTAATTAATTGGTTATTTTCGATTATTCGATTATTTTCGATTAATAATAATATAATAATAATACTCTCCCTAACTCACCCCCTTATGAGTGAATTTTAACCCCAAAAGCTGAGCTTGTGCGGGGAAAGGGACGGCTATTATTATTATTATTTGCCGTGGCACTCCAGGGCGACTTAAAGATGCTTGATGGTGCCATTTGACTTACAGGTGAGGAAAACCCGGAAAACCGCACCCACCATCATCGAGACGGTAATGTATAACAATTTTTTATAATTTGCATGTCATATCAACAGAAATTGAATTTCTATTAATACGGCACACATCAAATCCTATACCGAACCATGCAATTTAATTAAAAATCCACATGGTCTGGTCTGGGATTCGAAGCCCAGCAGTCTCTGACAAATAAACTTGCTTATAAATGAATATAAGCGCCGTTAGACCGCTACACCACCGAACCGATTAAACGATTATTTTCGAATAATCGATTATTTTCGATATTTCAAGGATAAATGAATTATCGATTATAAATGAAATACGAAAAAAATAAATTATTTAATCGATTATTTGAAATAATCGATAATTCGGTTTTTTTGAAAAATCGATTTATCGGTTATTCCACTTTTTATTTAATCAAATATTTTTGATTTTTCAAAGATATTGAAGTAGTCGATTTTAAAGAAAATGCGAAAAAAATAGATTGTTTACAAATAATCGATTGATCGATAATAATCGATTATTTTTAATGATTTATAATTTATTTTGATAATTACCTAACCCTAGCGGCCAAATGACTTTTAATAGGTTTAAATTTTAAAATGTTATCTGGTTTCAGACATGTGCATTTCTAGAGTTTTATGTGACTCTCTATATTAATTAACATTCTTAAAGAAAAAAGCTTCAATATACCTTTTTCTGAGCCTACAATACAGAACAGCATTTTCTCATTTTAACTAATTTTTAATATTATGTAATAGCCGCAGAAAAAATATAATCTTCAACTCACAAGGCTTGATTTGCAGTATTGGCCTGAGTATATGCTTTTTTTTATAATACTCGTAGACAATGAGTATCATTTCTTGCTCGATTAACAATATTATATTTCAACATTTTATTATATTCTCTTGCAGAAAAGTCCCTAGTAAATAAACGCTAACGAAATATTCTCTTTACATAAAATGTCGTAGTAAAATGATAGTAAACAATCAAGTTAATTTTATTTCATAATATTAATAAATTCCATTAAACATCTTTTAAGTAAATCTAATAGTTCGTTATGATGCTAATAAACAAAGGCCGTCCCTGTCACAGAGTTTGGGTCTCCGCCAAGTTCCCCCACTTCGTTAACCTTTCTTTAGAACTTGGCAACATTTGCGCAGGTTAAACACCGGTGTATGTTATATCTCTGGTCTCATTTATCTAAGGTTTAAACATAATATTTCCTGAAAAATGGATAGGAAGAAGAGGCCCTACTAATTGTCCCTCTAGATCACCCGATTAACCAGTCTAATTTTTTTTCTTTTGGGGATATGTTAAACTGTAATTCATCAAACTCAGTCGACTACCGCCAAAGATATGAAAACATGCAATCGTGATGCGTTTGCTATTATTAAGAGGGCCTCAGCCATTAACGTTCTTTCATCCGGTAAAAAGTTTTACTTATTGTAATGTTTAGAATTCTATTGCCTACAAATAGTTGGTAATGGTACACACTGTATATTTATATCTTAAATGTTGAGATGGAAAGCTTAGCTCAATAGCACTAAGGTCTCATTTAGCTCATTGTGCACCCTTAATAATAGAAATAAAAGAAACATTACAAATTTATTTATAACAAAAAATTATATATTATTTACATTGGTAATTTTTTCCATAAAATTTACATTAAATCCATTTTTAAATAAGGCATCTTCTTAGGTTTGCCACTTTTTTGAAAAGTGAGTAAAGGTAGGGTTGCCAGATTAACGAAAGGGACATTTCTAAAACACTAAAACAAAAACCAGATCCTTCTGGCGAGCTTCTAAAAAAAAGTTCCTCATCAGTTTTAATAAACCCCAGATCCTTCTATCGAGCTTCTAAAAAAAGAAAAAAGTTTTTAACTTATAGTTTTATAAACCAGGTCCTTTTTCTGACGACGAGCTTCTAAAAGGACAATTTAAGGTTTAAAAAGTCACAAGGACAATTTGTTTAAAAAAGGACAGGTGGCAAACCTATATCATCTGTAGTAAATCATTTG